TGCCGCAGCGACGCGTCGCGCAAACTATCATTATAATTTCGCAGATTAGCCTTGCTTAAAGTTGCCTAAAGAAGGCACGCATAAAGTTGCAAAATGCTGCCAACAATACAGCACAGCTAGCATAATTTTTTTTGTTTAACTGATAACACAGCTGTTGATTACTAGAAACATGAACACACTTTTAAAAAAGTAGTCCATTGTCTTTTATTTGGTCACAGCCTCCTTCTAAAAGTAAAGTAAAGTAAAGTAACAAATTTACTGTGGTTGCAAGAAGTATTATTTGATGCGCGGCGCGACCCAGTAGTGCATCAAACTACAGGTCAAAATATAAAATAATGCTAATTATTCCTTCACGATTCTTGGGGCGCTACAGAGCACAAAATGTAGGGGTTGCCATTGTGTAGCCGGACACTGTAGCATGTGTGGTGATGTACAGTTCAAAGTTTGAAGATTAAGGCCTATTTGAACAAATGGTTGTTCACATAAGTTGTTACATTAAATAAAATGGTAGTCGTGAAATCCGTGGTAGGTATAAATGTAACTCATAATAACTTCCATCGTCCATTTCATATATAATATAGTATAACAAATCAAATAATATAATAACAAATCAATCTTTCGACAATCATGTTCAATATATCATCAGCATCATAATTTGTACAACAATGTAACGGATTAATAATTAAAACAAAATTTTTAAGTAAAACAAAATTTAAAATTTATTGCCATTACAATGAATAATGATATCATAAATAAATATAAGTAGACATCCGATAATAAACTTGTTAGATCCAGTACAACCCAATAATATCAGGAGCCAAGTCGGAGGTTGCACCAAGCACCCACAACAAAATGAAAAGCTAAGTTTGTGTGTTGTAGCGCATCAATGATCAAGTAAAGAAAAGCTTGAACTTCATAATATATGTTTAAGATTCGGGAAATCGCTTGTTATATTCAAATTAATTCAAATTTATCACAAATCTGCGGACTTATCAGGGTTGTGCAAAATTGAAAACCCAGAGGCCAAAGCCTAACAATGTTTGACTTTAACATTAAACACTAAACATTAAACCTACGTAAAACGGAAATTTTAAAACAACATATATTGAGAATCAATAATTGTAATTACATACGCTGACCGGAACTTTCATGTTTTATGGAAACTTCCAGTTAGCTTGGTGCCGCGCATTTAAAATTGTAATTCGATTGTCGAATCGTGCAAACACATGCGGAAGGTAATCATGGCGACGACAACATTACTGCTCTGCACGTTGCTACACGTTGTATATACAAAACCTCTCTCGTGCACGCGGAGCGTGCACTCTGGCCAGCCGGCGATCAAAAGGGGTTGCAGCGTGTGACGTGTGTCAATATGCATGTGGAGAAGATGCATTAAAATGGAGTATCTTTGTCCATCATGTTCAAGTGGAAAAATGAAGGAGCTCATGTTTTCCTTTGTGACACGAAAAATCTACCTACCTACCCTACCCATTCTCAATTCCTACCACTTCTAACCATCTAAAACTTTTTTAGAAAAAAAAAAGTTGATCAATGAAACAAGAAATTTCAATGAAACAGGAAATTTAATTTTAGCACATTTTTACAGAATAAAAAGATGTACTTACTTTGAGTACTTTGAGTAGGTTTGGCTGGGATCGCTTCAGGACAACAGTATCAAGTACGTCCTCCTATCACTCCACAGGGGTCTTTTTGTAAGTACCATTCCAAGAGTGAGTTGTTGTTAGTAGCGGTGTATCCTTTAGTCGGAGGTGTGTCGGGGAATTCTTTAAGGAATTTAGCCAGTGACGATTTTAACAGGTCCAAAGTAGAGATGGAATTAATTTCTTTGGGGAGAAGATTCCACAGCTGTGCCGCTTTCACTCCAAACGAGTTTTCATAGTGAGTTGCCACAGAACGCTGTGATTTGTTGTTCAGTGCTGGTACAGTAGCTTTTATTCCATGTCGGGGGTTGTTTTTGAACAGCATGCCAATATCATTTGGGGCCAGGCCATTGAGAATTTTCCATGTGTGGATCAAGATGTACCTTTCTCGACGTCTCTGCAATGATATGATATTGAGTTTCGTGAGACGTTCCCAGTAGTCTAAACCACTGCATCCGTTAATGCGTCGGGTAAATTGTCGTTGGACGTTTTCTATAGCCTCTATGTCCATGGTCTTGGCTGGATTCCAGACAGGGCAGCAATATTCTAGCTTACTCCGCACCATGGTTTTGAAGAGGGCAAGCATGAGAAATTGTGATCTATCTTTGAAGACGCTAAGAACCCAGGATGACATAGTGCTTGCTGATTGGATCATTTTCTGGATGTGGGGAGTCCAAGAGCAGTCGTTTGATAAAATCACCCCCAAGTCCCTGACAGTTTCTGCTGGCTCAATTATTTGACCTGTTGTAAGAGTGTAACTGAGCAGATCATTTGTAAATGGCAGATTTCGTAGCAGAAGCGAATTATTGAGCGTATAGTTGAGGATCTCAAATTTGGCTTCATTGAGCTGCATATTGTTTCTTCGAGCCCAGGCAATGACATTGGAGAGGTCTTCTTGTAGTGATGCTTTGGTGGCCAAGTCCAATATTTTACCGATGAGTTTGGTGTCATCAGCAAATATCTTTCCAAGAGAGGTAAGCAGTGCGTCCAATTGGTCATCGATGTAGGTAATGAACAGAATCGGTCCCAACACTGTACCTTGTGGCACACCACTTATCACCAGCTGGAAGGATGACTTAGTTCCTTCAACGACCACTGTCTGGAGACGGTTTGTTAGGAATTCACTTAACCACTGGAGCATGTTTCCATGAATTCCGTAACGTTTTGCTTTTGCAAGTAGTATGTTGTGATCTACCTTATCGAACGCTTTGGCGTAATCGAGGTATATGACATCTACTTCTTTGCCACTGTTCAAGCTTTTCAATATGGTATCTACATGGTCTAAGAGTTGAGTTAGGCAGCTCCTCTTTTTGCGAAATCCATGTTGATGCGGTGAAAGAAAGTTATTTGCTTCCATATGTTCGACAAGGTTGTTTCGTATCACTCTTTCGAAGATCTTGATGATATGCGATGTTATAGAAACAGGGCGGTAGTTGGCAGCCTCTGTGCGGTCACCCTTCTTGTAGACAGGGGTAATAAACTGCGTTTTCATGCTAGGAGGGATTACTCCAGTTTCAAAAGAATCTTGCCAGAGTAGAAATATGGGCTCGGACAATGTCTCTCTACATTTGGTCAGGATCCTAGCAGGGATATCACCATCAGGGGTTGATGAATACGGGTCCAGTTCCTTGATGGCTTCTGAGATATCGTTAACTGAGAATTGCATTTGATCGAGTTCCTTAACTGGCACAGGGTTCAATCCAGCAAGGCTTTCCTCGATGTGGGCTTCATTTGGGTCACTAAATACTTTTACATATTGGGCCTGGAGGAGCTCGGCCTTTTCCTTGGGGTCCGTGTGCAGTCGACCTTCTCTATCTCTGATGGGGGAGACAGAAGATTTGACTTTCGCAAACTTCTTTGCGTAGCTGTAGAAGTAACGTTGATTTGTCTTTATGGTAGTGACAGCTTTAGCCTCGCGTTCGTTGAGCTCGTTGATGATCAGCTCACTTATTTCAAATGCCAAGAGGTCCACTTCATTTCTAAGCTTTGCAAGGACGGGGGACGTAGGGTTTCTTTGAGTAATGGCATTCATGCGGGCGTTGATCTTCCTCTTTTTCCTTTTAAGCGTATACTTTTTACGACAATGCTGGTTTCTGTGCACTGGGGAAGCACCTGGCTTAATATTGTATGGGGAATTGAGAAGAGTGACCTGGAGCACAGTCAAACGGATGAGTTCCAAGAAATTACTCCCATTCTCATCGTCTTCACAGAGTCTTTTAAGTTCATTCCAATCTATTGTTGCTAGAAGTTCATTCATAGCTTCAAAGTCAGCGTTGTGATAATTTACTGCTCGAAAAGAGTCTTTATCTACAACTGTAAAACAATTCATAAAATATAATGCCCATTTGGTGTATGACTTTTTGTCCTTGACTGCTAGTTTGGTTTTGGAAGGACAGGTAACTAACGGGGCAAGGAATGCGCGTGCCTGGAAGCTTTTGCACACACCGAAACGCTAGTTCAGTTAAGTTTATAGAGACAAGGCTCAGATTAGGACTAGAAGATGGAAAATATTGACAACCATACTACACAGTACACATTGCATTTGGCTTCCTTTAAATATCAAATTGATTTGTTTGTAATCTAGTTTGTATGTACTATGAACATAACCCCTAATGTCTGCTAGAACAATTTTCTTCTGGTCCTAATATGAGCCTTGTCTCTAAAAAGTCAACTGAAATAGTGTTTCAGTGTGTGAAAAATCTTTCAGACACCCACATTCCAGTGGCGTGACGAACAGGCAACGTTACGCCACTGGCACATCCCTTGCCCCGTTAGTTACCTGTCCTTCCAAAATCAAACTAGCAGTCAAGGACAAAAAGTCATACTATATATACACCAAATGGGCATTATATTTTTATAAATTATTTTACATTAAATTAAATTTCTTGTTTCATTGAAAAAAATTTCTTGTTTCATTGTAATAAACGGCACAAAATAGGAATTTTGGTTGTCAATTTTTGTCAACAGTTATATTGATATTATTTATTTGATGGAATGGATTTTTGTATTTTAAGATGTAGAGTCTTTAATATGACAACAGGCAATGTTACGCCACTGATGTGGGCACACATTTACAGTGGTCAATCTCCGCTCTCCAGGGACACAAGGTCACGATGGACAGGTTTTTTGGAGCATATCATGGTTCTGGGGTACGATATCTTGGGGCTGGAGAACAGTTTTAAATGATAAAAAGTAAAATGAGCCATTCACAGTTCACCATTCTGTGCATTATGAAAATGTTCATAATGACTCTCCAATAAATTCTGTAATAAATGGCATAAAATCGAAATTTTTGTTTAACTGACATTTTTGTTTAATTGAAAATTAATTGTATTTTTCAGGATGGCAGATAATTCGCTATTTTTGGTGATGATAAATGGGCAGGTTGAGAGTGCCAATTTCCCACTTTACGATGATCTGTATTGTAGAGTCAGTGTGGTTTATGGCGCTGACTGGCTGCTAGTATCAGGTTAGATCTCTTGCCAACCATTGGTTTTAAAAATCTTTCTTCGGTATTTATTTAATAAGCTTTTTTGTTAAAGCCCAACGCCATTTTGATGTTCATTGTTAAAATTATTTTCTATTATATTAATTTATATTAATTTTTGTGAAAAATTGTATCTAGAGTACTGTTTACATAACTATCAACATCAAACTTACTATTGAAACATGTAATGAGACGAGCCGACTCATCCTACCCAACTGCGCAGCGAGCGAAGCAAGCAAGCTCCGGCAGCGATCCAGGGGTGGAGCCCCTTGGCAGGGGGCACGGGGGGCTAGGGGGGCGCATGCCTCCGGAATTTTTTTAGAAATAGTGTGTTTTAGACGACATTTGGCATTAAAGAAATTTGTAGGACAGCAATAAACTGGGACTGAAAAGAATCAAGTACTCAAGTAAATTTGGTAACTTCACAACAGCAATCTGCATTCTCCAATCAGAATTTACGACTTACTCAGGCCTCATCATCTTAAGATTTTGACATTTCCTACAGTCTAGGGGAGAAGAACTCAAGTACTGAATGGAATAAGTACATGTATGGAATAAGTACATGTATAGTGGGATTTGGGAATAATTTACGTAACACTATTTCAGGGCTAGAGGAAGGAACGTCACAGATTACTAAGAAAACAAAAGGCGTTACCATAGTAACACTATTTCAGGGCTAGAGGAAGGAACGTCACAGATCACTAAGAAAACAAAAGGCGTTACCATAGTAACACTATTTCAGGGCTAGAGGAAGGAATGTCACAGATTACTAAGGAAACAAAAGGCGTTACCATAGTGACACTATTTCAGGGTTAGAGGAAGGAACCTCACAGATTACTAAGAAAACAAAAGATGAGAAACAGAAATTTGTGTGGAACTTTCCCATCGAGGTAAGACTGAGCACTTAGTGCCCTGCTACAAGAGTCGGGGGGGGGGGGGGGGGGGGGGGGGAGGAGGAGCTACTAGAGCAAGTTTTCAGATATACAATAGACATTTGTATTATCAGATTATCGATTAAAGGGTACCCAAAAATAATTGTATACAGTTATTTTGAAGTATAATTTGAGAGAAGTATACACAACATTTTCATGGAAGTACCACAAGGTGTATCTACATGGGGTCGTCATTTGTCAGCATATTGTGCTGTATTGAAAGTTTTAGGAAAAAAAAACAGTTTCGGCACCCAGTTTCAGCACCCAGTTTCAGCACCCAGTTTCAACACCCAGTTTCAACACCCAGTTTCAGCACCCAGTTTCAGCACCCAGTTTCAGCACCCAGTTTCAGCACCCAGTTTCAGCACCCAGTTTCAGCACCCAGTTTCAGCACCCAGTTTCAGCACCCAGTTTCAGCACCCAGTTTCAGCACCCAGTTTCAGCACCCAGTTTCAGTAGAATGACCACTCTCATAAACAGACAGATTCACAGCGAATATTATACGGGATAACAAAACAATTCTCATTTCTGTTTGTTCCCTGTGTATCGACTATCGCTTTGACAGCCCTAGAGATTCAACTTATAACCTTGAAAAACTGAAGTTTTACAGAAATAAAGCTGAACACACGTATAGTAGACTTGATTTAGTCTCATTTTAAAATTTGCTTTACAACAAATTTAATCATAAAGTTAGACTAAATCCATGGTAATAATAAGGTTCTTAACGTATGTGGAAAATTGAGCCAGAAAGGTTCTGAAAGCAATTATATACAACACGTTAACAAAGCTCATGTTTAAGGACAACTCATGAATCAACATTTGGCTAAGAAACCTCGCTTAAATCGAGTAATTCAATTATCAGCAAAAAAGGCCAAAAAAGGCCACTTTGACGTTATTCAAACACTGCCTACTGTTGGTTAACCTCTGGACATGTGGTTTCAACGAAAAAGCCTTAAAAATAAGGTCGCTCACAATCAACTGCGAAACTTTTGCCACCTTGATTGCTCGATCAGTGGGTACAGGAATACAAGGAATACAAGGAATACAAATTTCAAATCTTAAGTTACAACAGCAACTGTCAAGATAATAAATATAATAGTATTATACCTCTTTCCTCTCCATAATAATAATACTAATATTTACAAACATAAATAGAATTTGACTACTGCATTAAATCTTTTATTTTATAGACTTTGTTATATCGCCATTAGCATAGGGTACCCTTGCTCGATGAGTGTAGTTTTGTAGGCAACGGCGCGCAAAGAGTAGTGTTGAGAAATGTTGTAGATGTACGTTTATGACGCGGAACAGTGTGTTAAGTAGTAGCAGTTTGTTACTATGGTAACTAGCTACATCAATTTGCACACTGTACCCACTCGTTCACTCTTTCCTTGTTGTAGGGGCATCCTAATCTGGAGTTAAACCCAAGTTCAAACATTGCTGGTTAGGGCTATAACCTGTAGCAAGAGCTATAGATTAACATTGCTGGTTAGGGCTTTAACCCGTAGCAAGAGCTATAGATTAACATTGCTGGTTAGGGCTATAACCCGTAGCAAGAGCTATAGATTAACATTGCTGGTTAGGGCTATAACCCGTAGCAAGAGCTATAGAGAAAGAACTGATATGGTCTCCACGACCGCTAGTGCTTAATACTCTACTGATTCCTGGACCTCATTAGAGCATGTCTCTGTGCACGCCACGTGCACACCACGTGCACACCACGTGCACACCACGTGCACACCATCACCACGTGCACACCACGTGCACACCACGTGCACACCATCACCATGTGAACGGGAGTAGTTTCTGTGTTGTGATTGGTGCTCCAGGGCACGTGCTTTGCTCCTTTAGTTGAGTAATACCACACTTTTGAGAATTATATCTCTACTATAATAGCTTAATAATAATAGCACTATCTTCTCAACAGTTAAACGAGTGGATTGTAAGGAATTAAAACGCGAGGACAGGATAATTTGTGGTCTTCACTCTTTTTTGAATGCATCCCCCTAAATTATCAACTGCATTCATCAATTAGTATAAGTGTTGTAAGCAATTATAACAGGACAACGAGAAATTATAATTTGAGGCCACATTGAAGATTAACTGTAGAGAGCTCCCAATTAAACAAAACGATTGTCCATTTTAATTGCAATAATGAATAAACTGCACAACTACTTTTATAAAAACAATTCTAAATAAACGTTATAACATTGGAGTACTATCTCAGTTCTCGGATGTTTTAATTAATTATAATTTAGTATCCATGTCACAATTTAAAATTAATTTGTTGAGATTATGCATACACTATGCATCCCTTTTTCGAATCACACTTAATTAGCAAGAGCAAGAGCTGCTGGTAGGCTCTAATATGCATTTAATATCGTATTATTTGAATCGTTCTTGAAACTGTGTTTGAAAATGATCTCTAGGGCCAAATTGCTCAGCTAGGCTTTTTGCATGAGCAAAATCTTCAACAAAGTTTGTTGTTTGAAGAAAACCATTCCTACACCCCTGAAAGTAACTGTATAGAGGCCCAAATACTGAGATTCAAAGAAAATGAAATACCGACAAAACAACCATTTCGCAGTAGATCTCAAAAATTTTCCGTACTTTTGAAAGGTATTTACTATCTTGTAATTAATGAAATTATATTATAAAGTTCGCGAGCTTCTGAATGTTAAACTAATAACACCACAGGTGACTCTGAAGAGTACTAACCCGTACGGATGGCCGAGACTGGTGATAGCCGTGTACGGCCTGGACGCCTTTGGGAGGGATGTAGTTCGCGGATACGGGAGCATTCTCTTTCCTCTTATTCCTGGATCTCATAAAATACAGGTTTAGTCAGTGAGGGAGATACTACTACTACCACTACTACTCACTTTTAATAAATCGTTTCTGCCAGCAAGTAACAAGATGGTGTTAGTGAAGTATACATTATTTGTGAATTGTTTCTCACGACCTTCTTAACCGTACAATATATTCCAGATGCCTATGTTTGTGCCTGAATCCACCTCGCTACTCCAGAAGTTCACTAGCTGGTTGCTAGGCACAAGACCTGAGTTTGTAGACCCCAAGTTTGTAACTCAGAGCGACGGCAGAGAAGTAACACGTGTGAGAAGTCAGGGTTCTGTTTCTGTTACTTGCAATATCATGACTAAAGACATTAGTTCGGCAGGGTATGTTGTCGACTCAATACACAGTCACAAACCTTGAAATTAGTGTAAAATTCTTATGTTTCATATTTGTACATTATTGTTGACATGCTGGGAAGTTATGACAGTTTGGAGAGGTGCGATATTTTGCATCATAAAGATAAGAAATAGCTATTGACATAATCTCTTGCTTCATATTTATTTTTTGTCCGAAATAACACTATAAATTATATAAATAACACAGTAGTTTGAAAATAATAACAACTCTGCGTCTTCCAGTAGGATTTGAAGCTCTTGGCGACAATTGACAATTTTATGTAGAAAAAACGTTTTTCAACAGCTTGTGTAACAAAGTATTGGCGCGCGCGCGTAACTTTAAATGGCGCGCGCGAAATTATGGTCAGCTGGACATTGGTGCTTTTGCCAGTCAAAACTACAATTTATTATGGTTAGAATAACAGAAGATAGACAATATTCGCTATCATTGTTGATTATGACTAAATATGACTAATGTTATTATTATCATATTTATTTAAATTATATTTTATGTATGTGTTTTATTTCTAAGTACGGTTTGTATCCTGTAATGAGTGAATTAGAAAATAACGTATTTATAACATAACGTATTTATACACTCATGGTTATAACCATGAGTGGCCCGCGGCGTCTGTCATGGTCAACCACCGACTTTAGTGACATCTTACCGATATGTACCAGTGGCGTAATATAACAAAGGGCCCCGCCGACCCCGCTGTGGGGGAGGGGGGCAAATAGTCGTTTGAATGTGGGACAATTTTGAAAAACTTAACACGGTACTAGCAAAACTGCGCGTTTTGTTCTACTAGAAACACACTTTTTAAAAGAAAAATAGCGTATCACCCTCTAAAAAAAGGGAGGGGCGCCGGGGCGCTTTTTCAGCGAGGGGCGCCAACAGGCAACGTTTACGCCACTGAATATTAATATAGCCCGTGTAGTCGTAGTACGTTCGTAAAAGGGTCCTTCTACAAATATCCGCAATACATTGTGAAGGTATTTTAAGCAGGCCTAATTAACCGGGAGAGCTCAGGGTTCAACTGGTTAATGTTAATAGGTTTACTCAATCAGTGCAATCAAAGTATCCGGTTTACCAAAGTCGTTATATTTATAAATTTTAACGATTGTTCTATTTCCTATTAATATTATAATTTCGTGCAAATAAATGATTGGTTGTGTTGGTTGCGTTCGTTGATTAGTCTTAATCAGGAAATCCTAATTCATAACAGAATATCGAAAGTTGTTCAAAATGAAATGGAATTATTATTGATTGTACAAATATTGCGCTTTGATTAATCATTTTAGCTATTGGTTTAAAAATACGTTCACATTGTCCATTGTATTTGTCCTTCATTCTGGCGGCTTTGTTACTAATACTACCTTATCGGACGTTATTTTACTGGACATCACGGAAACGGACATAATGATTAATGAACGCTAGGGCCTCCTGCGTCCAATTATTATTGATGTCCGTTCAAGTAAAGTCCGATAAGTGAAGTGATAGTTACTAGGTTACAGTTACTAGGTGATAGTTACTAGGTGATAGTTACAAGGTGATAGTTACAAGGTGATAGTTACAAGGTGATAGTTACAAGGTGATAGTTACTAGGTTACAGTTACTACGTGATAGTTACTAGGTGATAGTTACTAGGTGATAGTTACTAGGTGATAGTTACTAGTTGATAGTTACTAGTTGATAGTTACTAGGTGATAGTTATTTGTTGATAGTTACTAGGTGATAGTTATTAGTTGATAGTTACTAGGTGATAGTCGCAATGACCCTCATTTTTGTGGCTTTGTTACTAATCATCTCCAGAGTTTGCATTGGTACAACTCGGTGTACACAAGAATTAAAGCCAATTATAGAACATCTTGAAATAGTTCACTAAATCAGATGATTAACTGACTAACTAGTAATATTTATTACACGTACTGGTGATTCTATTATGATACTAATAGTAACCGATAGTTACTATAGCAACCGATCATCATTTTAATTGGGATATATATTTTGGTTAGTTAGTGAAAATAATAACAATTTTGTACAATTGCAGCTTGCTGCTTATTTGTGTTTTAGATTTAAATTTCTTCTCCTAAAAAACCCCAAATTTAATTGTTCACCTTGAAGCTTGTGAGAAGACGTTGGTATCTGTTGTGAGCTGAGAAAATGGCATCCAGTCTTCCTGAAACTCTAAACTTCTCTCGCTTCTTTAACAGAAAAGAGTTCTCGAACACAGTCGAGATAATAGTTAACGACACCAAGTTCATCTGCTCTGGTGTCATCCTGGCTCACCAGAGCTCTGTTTTTGAGAAACTCTTCGCGACGGGAGCTAGTTTTGTGCTTCTCCAACACTTCTTCTTCCCCGGCTCGGAGATAGCAGTGGAGGAGTGTCTGACGCTTCTATATGGGGGCAGGGTTCTGGTAACTCTACACAACATAGCATCCCTCACTAGATTCTCTCTGATCTACGACGTTAAGTTTATGTACGATCTCTCCCTGACCTGGATTAAAGATAATCTCACCCCCTCCAACGTGCTGGAGATATTTGATATCGGTAATTTACCTGAAGTGAGATCGAAGAAGACCGAAGTGTACGAACAATGCCTGAACATCATGAAGCAGTTCGAGTCTGATGTTTCCCTAGAGATGCTAAACCGCTTGAAGTCTGAGAAACATATTGAGAGTGATTTTATCAGAGCCATGATTCAGATTACAAACTGCCCCGGTTTCATTACTTTTCTGATTAATTTCTGTGTGGTCTCCGAGCAAAACTCCAACTTTGTCCTTGATCTAAGTGAGAGTATTGACTTTGAGACCTTATTCCTGAACGAGAAGGAGTTGTTCAATTCCCTCATGAATTCCATGAAGGTACATGCCGAGTCTCCTCCGCAAGCAACCCTCGCGCGCGCGCAACTAAAGATTAAAAGATTAAAACAGCTCCTGGAAATTCAAATGGCTGCTTTAAAACTTTGACACGTGTTCCTGGAAATTCAAATGGCTGCTTTAAAACTTGTCTTCCGCGACAATTCTGACTAACTGAATGGCCACACCCTAATCATGAACTGCTCCTTCAAGACTTTTAAGAGGACGCACGGTAGGGTAGGTTTTGAGTTGTAGTTCTTGTTCGAAGAAGTCGATGAATTAATTCGGTTGATTTTGCTGCATGTTGAAATTCTATGCGATTTAACTTATGAATTTATGAAGGAATTCTTTATAAAAATGTGGCTTTTAAAAGTCGCAAAATGAACCTGCGAAGCTGTCTCGAATAATTTTTGTAAATTTGTATCTTTTTGTTTTGAACAAAACGGTTTTTACTGCTTCTGAAATATGAAGAATGATAATGATTTGAGATGGGAAAAAATTTTCAGCAGTCTTGAATAGATAATTATACGCTATCTCAATTCTATTTTTGTTGTTTCAAGATCTATTGCGTCAATTATTTTAAAGCATTGAATAACTTCTAGGTAATGTAAGCGGTGATAGAGGAGTTAACCATGACAGAAGCAGCGACCTCTTCTGTTGAAGATATCAGATCGGTTGAGAACACAAGCTTAACCACCACGACAGCTAAACTTAATACCAATGATATGAAAACAGATGAGGAAAACTCAGAAAGTTCTCCAGATCAGATTAAACCCAAATGTTCCATGAAAGATGAGTTTGAACAGGACTCATCGGCTAACGACTCGATTGATAGAACATCAGAAAAGTCTAAACGAAAACAGTCGATATCAACAACTGCAGCGGATCTGCCACAACAAAAAGAACCACTAAGTGGCAGGGAAAACGTTCAGAGTAATACACTAGTATTGACAGGTGATGAGAAAATCCTCAACTCGAGTGTCAATAAAACTAAGGTCCTGGTTAATGTATTCGGAAGCAGCTTGTACGAAGATTTCCGGGTTCCTGAAATGAAGAAACCTAAACATCTGGTAAAAACTGCAGCAGAACCTTCCAAAACACGGAGTTCCACTACGAATAAAGTGATGTTAGCAACTAGTTACCATAGTAACACTACTAGTTACCATAGTACCACTACGAATAAAGTGATGTTAACAAAGCAAGAAACCTTCGTTTCCAACAAGCTAGGTGACCTATCCCATCTTCTCTCTATCAAGTGTTTCAGCAACACTGTTGATGTACAGATTAACGAAGTGAAGTATACTTGTTCCGGAGCTGTGCTCAGCGCTCAAAGTTCTGTATTTAATTACCAGCTCTCTAAGGGAGCAAGTATTATAGTGCTGGAAGGACTGGGTTGTAAGACAGGGGAGGAGAGTGTGGTGGAGGAGTGTCTGCTTCTTCTCTACGGAGGAGGAGCAGTGCTGTGTGACAGGAACATTCCTATCATAGTGAGGTTCTCTGTACTCTACCAGATAGAGAACATGTACAGACTCGCTCTACACTGGGTCAGGAACTGTATCTCAGTAGCTAACGTCTACACACTCTGGTTACTGGGATCTGAACCAGTTGTAGCAGGCAAAACAAAGAGAAAGAAGAATGATCTGCTGCACATCACCAGGAACTACGTGAGAGGCAGGGAGGTGGAGGTGGCTTTACAGCTGAAGAGAGTAAAGGAGCGAGGAGAAGTGCTGAGGGAGGAGTTTGTGTTTCTTATGTTACAGTACACTGACTGTGCGTCTTCTATCACTGACCTACTGTAGTAATGTTACACTGACTGTGCGTCTTCTATCACTGACCTACTGTAGTAATGTTACACTGACTGTGCGTCTTCTATCACTGACCTACTGTAGTAATGTTACACTGACTGTGCGTCTTCTATCACTGACCTACTGTAGTAATGTTACACTGACTGTGCGTCTTCTATCACTGACCTATTGTAGTGATGTTACACTGACTGTGCGTCTTCTATCACGGACCTACTGTAGTAATGTTACTAGTTACTAGGTGATAGTTACTAGGTGATAGTTACTAGGTGATAGTTACTAGGTGATAGTTACTAGGTGATAGTTACTACGTGATAGTTACTAGGTGATAGTTACTAGGTGATAGTTACTAGGTGATAGTTACTAGGTGATAGTTACTAGGTGATAGTTACTAGGTGATAGTTACTAGGTTACAGTTACTAGGTTGCAGTAAACTTGTTTATTATAAAAGATATGTTCAGCTCCCCGTCAAATGCAACATTGGAGATATTGATGTTTTAATTTGACCAAAATAAGTAATTTCAACTTCGTCAGATTTACAGCCCCAGTACATTTTGCCTTATAGCATTGTGCCTCGGGTCGGAACCCTAGTTAAGGTTAATAGCTTCAGTGTGGAACTGAATTTGTACAGCTCATATACATGCTCAATCTGTCAGAAGTGATCATTAAGCTCCTCAATCTGGTAAAATTAGTTACACTGGTCTGCCCAAGCCCCAATGTGATTACGAAAAAGACGTTTTATACTTTTTATTTTTTATTTAAAATCTTAGATATATTTCCAGATTCTTTGTGTGTTAAGTTCCGATACTTGTTGAATTAAAGTTAATACAAATTAAACATTTAAATGAAGTTGTTTTAAATTCAAAACGTTAACATTAAAACAAGTTTAAAGAAAGGTTATTTAAGCAAGATGTCTTCTCATAGCCGTGAGGAATGGGTTCTTGCCCTGACCGCACGCCCCCTTGAAGTCGTCCATAGTAACGTCCCAGATCATGCCTCCCATCAGCCCCTTCTTCTTGATATACTCCATCTTATACTTTACAGACTCGAGACTGTCATACCCGACCCACTGGTTTCCCTTGTAGGCGTAGGGTCCCACAACACAGTCACTTCCTTTCACCTCCTTCCAGCCCTTGTTCTTCAGGTTCAGACAGATCTGAGGGTTGTTTAGTTTTAGTTTTATAGGTTATTAGGAGGAGAATTGTATTGTTCCCCTTTTACATTTAGTGTAAGAGTCTGGTGGCTCAGCAATACTCATACTATTCCTGATACCCGATCAAATAAAGTTTACCTCGTAGTACCCAAGGAAGCCCTTGGCTCTAGTCCAGACTCCAGCTTGACCTCCATCTTTAGCGGGAGCACCAATGCCGTGCTTTGAAGGATCCGCGAGGGTAAAGGATCGTCCGTAGATGGGGAGTCCCATTACAATCTTCCTGGCTGGGAATCCACTCTTGATCCAGTGGTCTACGGCAGAGTCCTGAACGGTTTTTATATTTAAATTTTTTAGTAGCCTTTAATAGAGAAATAATTCAACAGCAGGATAATGTCTTTCTAAAAACCATCACCAAGCAGCGACTGTGACAGGGAAATAAAGTATCCTCCAACTAACGACGTTGAAGAAGGGGATGGCATCTCCCTCGCAAGGAAACAGTTACTAGGTTACAGTTACTAGGTTACAGTTACTAGGTTACAGTTACTAGGTTACAGTTACTAGGTGATAGTTACTAGGTTACAGTTACTAGGTTACAGTTACTAGGTTACAGTTGCTAGGTTACAGTTACTAGGTTACAGTTACTAGGTGATAGTTACTAGGTTACAGTTACTAGGTTACAGTTGCTAGGTTACAGTTACTAGGTTACAGTTACTAGGTTACAGTTACTAGGTTACAGTTACTAGGTTACAGTTACTAGGTGACAGTTACTAGGTGACAGTTACTAGGTGACAGTATAAAGTATCTTGCAACTAACGACGTTGAAGAAGGGGATAGTTACTAGGTTACAGTTACTAGGTTACAGTTACTAGGTAACAACATTAGTAACTCTACTAACGACGTTGAAGAAGGGGATAGTTACTAGGTTACAGTTACTAGGTTACAGTTACTAGGTAACAACATTAGTAACTCTACTAACGACGTTGAAGAAGGGGATAGTTACTAGGTTACAGTTACTAGGTTACAGTTACTAGGTAACAACATTAGTAACTCTACTAACGACGTTGAAGAAGGGGATGGCATCTCCCTCGCAAGGATACATAGGCGCGTTGTGACCGGTCTGTTTCTCCCAAGATCCGTGGAAATCGTAGGTCATCAGGTTGAGGATGTCCAGACTCCTGGCGATCCTGGGCACATCATATCCAGCATCAATAATGGTCTTGCTGGCAGATACTGCAGCACTGAGCTGGAGACCGTGAGGTTGGAAGGCAGCCTTCAGTTCAGCGCACCAGTCAGCGAAAGCTTTCTTCTCTCCCTGCTTTCCCTTCTTACAGTCTCCCTGCCAGCACTGAGGGTACTCCCAGTCCAGATCCAGACCGTCAAATCCGTACTTCAGAAGGAAGGGGACTACATCGTCGATGAAGGCTTTCCTGTTGGGTTTATCAAATTGAAACATGTACATTTTAACGTAAACCATATATTTTGTAGGTGACAATTTCGGAGCAGAGTTCGATATAAAAGTCGACCTTCAACTTGGAAGAGCGCTGAATGCTAGTTTTATGAAGTGTTCCTAACCTGCTAGCTTTCTTCAAAACCATGTTGGAGTATTTGGGTCCCAGACTGTCGTTCCATCCTCCAATGGCGAGGAAAACTTTCCTTACTCGAGAGCCGGGTGCTTTCTTCAGTGCAACCGTCCTCTCGTAGAACTCTGAGGAATCACTTTTTAAAACAATAAGCTTTCAAGAAGACACAAAGTCTTAATATCCCAACACGATGTTGCTAATAATTAATAAATGATCAGACATTAAAAAGCTAGTGTAAACTCACTGTTGTCCCTATCAGCCCAGCTGTCGTGCATCCTGAGCTTTCCGTTGTTTCCCAGAACAGAGAAACCGTAGTTAACTACAGTGCAGAGTTTAGGGTCAATATCCTCCGGGACATATTTACCAGCTCCAGGTCGGTACCAGGCCCAGTTGATGAAGTAGCAGACAACATCCTTACCTCCCTCTGAGTTAAGACAGTTACGGTTACTAGGTGATAGTTACTAGGTGATAGTTACTAGGTTACAGTTACTACGTGATAGTTACTAGGTGATAGTTACTAGGTAATAGTTACTAGGTGATAGTTACTAGGTGATTGTTACTAGGTGATAGTTACTAAGTGATAGTTACTAGGTGACAGTTACTAGGTTACAGTTACTAGGTAATAGTTACTAGGTGATAGTAAGTAGGTAATATTTACAAGGTTAATGGAATTTCAGACCACTTCCTCGCCAGTTGCCATCCTCTGAGTTAAGGATCAACTAGGGTTCACTATTTTGATGACCTAATTCAGTCACTAGATTTTTTTAGTCTATAATTTTACTCTGGGATAGGCTCAGTAGGTTTGGGTTCAGTGGTAGATTCTAAATACCTGGGATAGGCTCAGTAGGTTTGGGTTCAGTGGTAGATTCTAAATACCTGGGATAGGCTCAGTAGGTTTGGGTTCAGTAGTAGATTCTAAATACCTGGGATAGGCTCAGTAGGTTTGGGTTCAGTGGTAGGTTCTAAATACCTGGGATAGGCTCAGTAGGTTTGGGTTCAGTGGTAGATTCTAAATACCTGGGATAGGCTCAGTAGGTTTGGGTTCAGTGGTAGATTCTAAATACCTGGGATAGGCTCAGTAGGTTTGGGTTCAGTGGTAGGTTCTAAATACCTGGGATAGGCTCAGTAGGTTTGGGTTCAGTGGTAGGTTCTAAATACCTGGGATAGGCTCAGTAGGTTTGGGTTCAGTGGTAGATTCTAAATACCTGGGATAGGCTCAGTAGGTTTGGGTTCAGTAGTAGATTCTAAATACCTGGGATAGGCTCAGTAGGTTTGGGTTCAGTGGTAGATTCTAAATACCTGGGATAGGCTCAGTAGGTTTGGGTTCAGTGGTAGGTTCTAAATACCTGGGATAGGCTCAGTAGGTTTGGGTTCAGTGGTAGGATCTAAATACCTGGGATAGGCTCAGTAGGTTTGGGTTCAGTGGTAGATTCTAAATACCTGGGATAGGCTCAGTAGGTTTGGGTTCAGTGGTAGGTTCTAAATACCTGGGATAGGCTCAGTAGGTTTGGGTTCAGTGGTAGAATCTAATTACCTGGGATAGGCTCAGTAGGTTTGGGTTCAGTGGTAGATTCTAAATACCTGGGATAGGCTCAGTAGGTTTGGGTTCAGTGGTAGAATCTAATTACCTGGGATAGGCTCAGTAGGTTTGGGTTCAGTGGTAGATTCTAAATACCTGGGATAGGCTCAGTAGGTTTGGGTTCAGTGGTAGATTCTAAATACCTGGGATAGGCTCAGTAGGTTTGGGTTCAGTGGTAGATTCTAAATACCTGGGATAGGTTCAGTAGGTTTGGGTTCAGTGGTAGATTCTAAATACCTGGGATAGGCTCAGTAGGTTTGGGTACAGTGGTAGATTCTAAATACCTGGGATAGGCTCAATAGGTTTGGGTTCAGTGGTAGATTCTAAATACCTGGGATAGGCTCAGTAGGTTTGGGTTCAGTGGTAGATTCTAAATACCTGGGATAGGCTCAGTAGGTTTGGGTTCAGTGGTAGATTCTAAATACCTGGGATAGGCTCAGTAGGTTTGGGTTCAGTGGTAGGTTCTAAATACCTGGGATAGGCTCAGTAGGTTTGGGTTCAGTGGTAGGTTCTAAATACCTGGGATAGGCTCAGTAGGTTTGGGTTCAGTGGTAGATTCTAAATACCTGGGATAGGCTCAGTAGGTTTGGGTTCAGTGGTAGATTCTAATTACCTGGGATAGGCTCAGTAGGTTTGGGTTCAGTGGTAGGTTCTAAATACCTGGGATAGGCTCAGTAGGTTTGGGTTCAGTGGTAGATTCTAAATACCTGGGATAGGCTCAGTAGGTTTGGGTTCAGTGGTAGGTTCTAAATACCTGGGATAGGCTCAGTAGGTTTGGGTTCAGTGGTAGGTTCTAAATACCTGGGGTAGGCTCAGTAGGTTTGGGTTCAGTGGTACAATCTAAATACCTGGGATAGGCTCAGTAGGTTTGGGTTCAGTGGTAGGTTCTAAATACCTGGGATAGGCTCAGTAGGTTTGGGTTCAGTGGTAGATTCTAAATACCTGGGATAGGCTCAGTAGGTTTGGGTTCAGTGGTAAGTTCTAAATACCTGGGATAGGCTCAGTAGGTTTGGGTTCAGTGGTAGATTCTAAATACCTGGGATAGGCTCAGTAGGTTTGGGTTCAGTGGTAGATTCTAAATACCTGGGATAGGCTCAGTAGGTTTGGGTTCAGTGGTAGATTCTAAATACCTGGGATAGGCTCAGTAGGTTTGGGTTCAGTGGTAGATTCTAAATACCTGGGATAGGCTCAGTAGGTTTGGGTTCAGTGGTAGATTCTAAATACCTGGGATAGGTTCAGTAGGTTTGGGTTCAGTGGTAGATTCTAAATACCTGGGATAGGCTCAGTAGGTTTGGGTTCAGTGGTAGATTCTAAATACCTGGGATAGGTTCAGTAGGTTTGGGTTCAGTGGTAGATTCTAAATACCTGGGATAGGCTCAGTAGGTTTGGGTTCAGTGGTAGATTCTAAATACCTGGGATAGGCTCAGTAGGTTTGGGTTCAGTGGTAGGTTCTAAATACCTGGGATAGGCTCAGTAGGTTTGGGTTCAGTGGTAGGTTCTAAATACCTGGGATAGGCTCAGTAGGTTTGGGTTCAGTGGTAGATTCTAAATACCTGGGATAGGCTCAGTAGGTTTGGGTTCAGTGGTAGGTTCTAAATACCTGGGATAGGCTCAGTAGGTTTGGGTTCAGTGGTAGATTCTAAATACCGTGGATAGGCTCAGTAGGTTTGGGTTCAGTGGTAGATTCTAAATACCTGGGATAGGCTCAGTAGGTTTGGGTTCAGTGGTACAATCTAAATACCTGGGATAGGCTCAGTAGGTTTGGGTTCAGTGGTAGGTTCTAAATACCTGGGATAGGCTCAGTAGGTTTGGGTTCAGTGGTAGATTCTAAATACCTGGGATAGGCTCAGTAGGTTTGGGTTCAGTGGTAAGTTCTAAATACCTGGGATAGGCTCAGTAGGTTTGGGTTCAGTGGTAGATTCTAAATACCTGGGATAGGCTCAGTAGGTTTGGGTTCAGTGGTAGATTCTAAATACCTGGGATAGGCTCAGTAGGTTTGGGTTCAGTGGTAGATTCTAAATACCTGGGATAGGCTCAGTAGGTTTGGGTTCAGTGGTAGATTCTAAATACCTGGGATAGGCTCAGTAGGTTTGGGTTCAGTGGTAGATTCTAAATACCTGGGATAGGCTCAGTAGGTTTGGGTTCAGTGGTAGATTCTAAATACCTGGGATAGGCTCAGTAGGTTTGGGTTCAGTGGTAGATTCTAAATACCTGGGATAGGCTCAGAAGGTTTGGGTTCAGTGGTAGGTTCTAAATACCTGGGATAGGCTCAGTAGGTTTGGGTTCAGTAGTAGATTCTAAATACCTGGGATAGGTTCAGTAGGTTTGGGTTCAGTGGTAGGTTCTAAATACCTGGGATAGGCTCAGTAGGTTTGGGTTCAGTGGTAGATTCTAAATACCTGGGATAGGCTCAGTAGGTTTGGGTTCAGTGGTAGATTCTAAATACCTGGGATAGGCTCAGTAGGTTTGGGTTCAGTGGTAGATTCTAAATACCTGGGATAGGCTCAGTAGGTTTGGGTTCAGTGGTAGGTTCTAAATACCTGGGATAGGCTCAGTAGGTTTGGGTTCAGTGGTAGATTCTAAATACCTGGGATAGGCTCAGTAGGTTTGGGTTCAGTGGTAGGTTCTAAATACCTGGGATAGGCTCAGTAGGTTTGGGTTCAGTGGTAGATTCTAAATACCTGGGATAGGCTCAGTAGGTTTGGGTTCAGTGGTAGATTCTAAATACCTGGGATAGGCTCAGTAGGTTTGGGTTCAGTGGTAGATTCTAAATACCTGGGATAGGCTCAGTAGGTTTGGGTTCAGTGGTAGATTCTAAATACCTGGGATAGGCTCAGTAGGTTTGGGTTCAGTGGTAGATTCTAAATACCTGGGATAGGCTCAGTAGGTTTGGGTTCAGTGGTAGATTCTGAATACCTGGGATAGGCTCAGTAGGTTTGGGTTCAGTGGTAGATTCTAAATACCTGGGATAGGCTCAGTAGGTTTGGGTTCAGTGGTAGATTCTAAATACCTGGGATAGGCTCAGTAGGTTTGGGTTCAGTGGTAGATTCTAAATACCTGGGATAGGCTCAGTAGGTTTGGGTTCAGTGGTAGATTCTGAATACCTGGGATAGGCTCAGTAGGTTTGGGTTCAGTGGTAGGTTCTAAATACCTGGGATAGGCTCAGTAGGTTTGGGTTCAGTGGTAGATTCTAAATACCTGGGATAGGCTCAGTAGGTTTGGGTTCAGTGGTAGATTCTAAATACCTGGGATAGGCTCAGTAGGTTTGGGTTCAGTGGTAGATTCTAAATACCTGGGATAGGCTCAGTAGGTTTGGGTTCAGTGGTAGATTCTAAATACCTGGGATAGGCTCAGTAGGTTTGGGTTCAGTGGTAGATTCTAAATACCTGGGATAGGCTCAGTAGGTTTGGGTTCAGTGGTAGATTCTAAATACCTGGGATAGGCTCAGAAGGTTTGGGTTCAGTGGTAGGTTCTAAATACCTGGGATAGGCTCAGTAGGTTTGGGTTCAGTAGTAGATTCTAAATACCTGGGATAGGTTCAGTAGGTTTGGGTTCAGTGGTAGGTTCTAAATACCTGGGATAGGCTCAGTAGGTTTGGGTTCAGTGGTAGATTCTAAATACCTGGGATAGGCTCAGTAGGTTTGGGTTCAGTGGTAGATTCTAAATACCTGGGATAGGCTCAGTAGGTTTGGGTTCAGTGGTAGATTCTAAATACCTGGGATAGGCTCAGTAGGTTTGGGTTCAGTGGTAGATTCTAAATACCTGGGATAGGCTCAGTAGGTTTGGGTTCAGTGGTAGGTTCTAAATACCTGGGATAGGCTCAGTAGGTTTGGGTTCAGTGGTAGATTCTAAATACCTGGGATAGGCTCAGTAGGTTTGGGTTCAGTGGTAGGTTCTAAATACCTGGGATAGGCTCAGTAGGTTTGGGTTCAGTGGTAGATTCTAAATACCTGGGATAGGCTCAGTAGGTTTGGGTTCAGTGGTAGGTTCTGGTTCCTCAGTTGGAGGAGGAGCTGTAGTTGGAGGAGGGGGATCAGTAGGTCCAACTTTACAGTCAGCATTAGCGGGCCAGTCGCAGTTAGAGCTCTTAGCATTGAAATGGAGTCCTGGGGGACAACTCTTGTGCCAGGATCGTCCACCTGTAAAGTTGTGAGAACATTATCATAGAGTACTTTATATTACAGTATTATACTGTGCAAATTATTCTAAAATGGGTAATTCAACAAACAATTCGGTAAAAAATAGTCAATGAAACAAGAAATTTCAATGAAAAGGTGATCACTAGACGATAAGGAGTTGTAAGTACCTCAGCTAAAAATAAATCCCACTAAAATTGTAGGTACGTAATGAAAACTACGCTGAAATAACACGTACTATAGTAACACTATAGTTACAGGTTACCATGGTAATATTAATAACACGTTGCTAGGTAACGTACCGGCACAGTGGTAATATTTCTCACAACTCTTGGGGTCCCTGTGCATGCCATCCCCGGGACAGTCGTAGGCCAGGCAACTTGCCAGAAGCACTGCAACTAATGCTATCACTTTCATTGTATCTGAAACAAGTGTACGTCAGTAATTATATAAGCTTCTTAATATGATTTATTATTAAAAGTCAAATGAAGAATAAGTCCCTCAAGTTTAGGAGAGTGAATCTAAATCAAGGGGTCTGAAATAGAGTTGATCACTTACTGTAGTAGGAGAGATCACCGAACTAGTGCTGTCAAATTGTAATCTCCCCTTAAATAAGCTTTAAACGCGCCTG